ACGGTAGAAGTAATCGACTGGTACTCGTCGTAATCGCAGGTAATAGGTGTGAACAAATAGGATAGCCAATGGCGTAGTCCAATGGGCGTCGTCATAGACTTAAACTCTGTCGTACCTACACATCTGTCTGTATTTATGATGGACACCAGCCAATCATATTCCAGTGAGGGGGAACGCAGGTGTATGCATATTCCATTATATCAGAAAGTGACTGAAGTCGAGATGCCAGGTTACGACCGAGAACATTACAGGCCGTTCTTTGGATTTGAGCGAGTATCACGAGATATATATCCGAGGCATCAGACCGTATATGGAAGCACGGGCGATTTATAAATGTGAACGATAGATTCTAATGAGAAAAATTGTCTGCCAAGTCACGATGAACCACGGTGAAAATATTTGTAGAAAAGACAAGGAAGCCACGTCGGTGAGAAAGTGACTGAAGCTGAGATGTCAGGTTAGGATCGATTATATTACAGACTCTTCTTTGGATTTTGTTAAGAATTTTTAGCTATATATTAGAACCAGCTGACCAAATATGGCAGCAATATTCAATGCACAGACGAATGGTAGATTTATTAATATGACGGATGGATTCTGATGAGAAAAAATATCTGCCAAGACAGAGTGAACTAATTTTCTTAGCAGCAGATTTAGCAATTGATTCAATAACATTTCTTCACTTCCTGCTAGTAGAAAACGTAAAGCAAACATGGTGCAAATGTTTGCTCTGCTTCAGAATAGCATCAGCCATGCTAATTGGAGACAAAAAATGTTCTCTATGATGATTTCCATTAGACTGTGTTTAAAATATTAATATCCGTAGAAGATTTATCCCAATGATATTGCAAATACCTGACAGAAAGAAAAAAAAAATTTAATCAAAAGAGGAATTACTACAAATAACTACAGACCTATAACCTGCCTTCCGATGGCATATAAGATTATATTAGGTTAAGCCAGACGTAATCACCCTTATTTTTTGTCAATTTTATACTTTCAAAAATGAAGTAAAATGACATTAACTACAATTCTATTTTCTTTATTATTTGTAATGACTTGTTGTTACTTCACTGCTTTTTGAGTAAATCTGTAAGTTTTGATGCGAAAACATTTTCGCCACATTTCAATAGAGAAAGTTTTCGCCATCAAGGCGGTTTGCAGCTGTAAATGTAATACTCGTGTGATGTCAAGTAAATATGGTGGTTAAGGTAGAACAGACCAAATAAGTTTCATTTTTTCCGTTGTTTTTTTTTTTTTTTTTTGGCTACGGCTTTGCGTTGTTATGGAGGAGAACTTCTTTTTTTTTACTGGCGAGCGCAGGGCGTTTTCCAGCAAAACTCTTTTGACACGTTGCAGCTGCTTGGCCTATAAATGTGCATTTAATGTTTCATTATGAATGATACCCCCAACGATCTTACAACACGCAAAACATAGTCTTTCTTCCATGAAGGTCAACTTTTGGTCGTTTGTGGGGGTGGGTAGGTTTGTCAATCCATTGATATTTTTGCGTTAATTATTGTCGTATGGTGATTTTAAAAACGTATCTTAGATGTGACACAAGCTCGAAATTATGGAGCACCCAGTGAGGACTGAATTCACTATTCAATGGCAATTGATATAACGAGACAAGATTTCTAAACATTACACCACGTTGAGGTGCCCTTTGATCATTGTTGTATGATATTTACTCAAAATTTATTTCTAGTTGTTTTATACGATTAGTAACTAGAAGGATATATTTGTCATTGCAGTTACCCTCCCCCCAATGGAAATTATATTTGGCTTAAACGTGTTTCAAATCTCTTTTCCCCGTGTTATTTATGCTGCACGCGGCCTTCCGTTGTCAGGAACGACAACAACATATTTCCTTTAACCCTCTGTGTAAGCTGCCACTACCACGAGTTTGTAATCGAGTTCACCTGAAACAAGGCAGTAAGGCCACAGAGAAGCAAGGGGTTACTGCGGATGAAAGAGTTAAAAACAAGAACATTGCCAAGGAGTGAGAACAGAGAAAGAGTAATCAGTGGGATGGTAGACAGCGATTGCCGTTGCATTTAAATTTTCGCATATTGGATGTAAAACATGGAGCCGGAAGTGAGTTCCACATGCGAGAAGTGCAAGTAAAGAAACCGCTAGCAGAGAATATACGATTATCTTTAGCCAGTAAAATGCTAAGTATTCAAAATTTATTCTTAGCAACCACGTATGATCAGTAATTAGGATGATACACTCGTCATTAACGATGCTACCCCCAAATGGAAATTGCTTATAAACAAACCTCGTTTATGAATCAATTTAAATAGAGTAAAAGAGTGGCAAAGCCAGTCACAAAAATGTTCAGTCATTTAAAACTATTAAAAAAAATACCCTGCCTCACATATTTGTCCACGTGTTACGTCCACTTTGCATAACAACCTGCGAAACTTCCATCAAATGCAACATCATATTCTGTACAGTTTCATTGGTGAAAAGTAAAAGTAAAACCTAGAACATAACT